TTGAGTTAATGACATTGAATGGGGTCAGCTGTATGGGTCTAGCTTTTAGCCAACACTGCTGACAGCGAGACGCTGCTTACCAACAATTTCTGTCTTCTCCGAACCTGGCCACATGTGAGTGTCACTGACGGCATTCAAATCGTCAGCAATTTTAATGAAGCAGTCGGCAGCGACGGTTAGATAGTTAGTTTGGGACGCTACAACCAAATATTTTCTAAAGTTTCTTAACTAAACACTATATTCAAAGTTGGAAGAGGAAAATCAGCACATGAGTTAAAAAAGATCACATAAGAAGCGGAATTTTGGTTCCAAAAACTCTCGAATCTACAAAAGGGTTAAGAAAAGACAATTTATAATGAAGAGTTTAGTTCTGGAAACCTGAAGCTGAAATAATAAGAAAATTGTCTGTAGAAAGTCCCAAAGTAGGCAAAAGAAAATGTATAGCTTTGCATACCAAAAACATTCGAATCTACAAAAGATTTTTAAAAATTTCAGAAATTCAAAAATTCTCTCAATTGTTAAGAATTTAATTATTTTTGGAGACGTTCACAATTCTTTTTATAATGTAACAATAAATGAAAAAGAAGCTGCTCAAGCAGTTATAACAGACACGTCGCACAGACCCATAACAAATATGGCAAATCTTGACTTTCTTAAAATATTTGTTTCGGATCAATAATTTATAGCTCAATCGGGTTAAGTTTAAGAAAATTATATTCAACTTTAAAACCTCTTATCTTAACTAAGAGCGAGGTATGTGGAATCCAAACTGAAATTGAAATATTCATTTAAAAAAGTGCATCGTTTAATTTTGAAACCGAATAGTTCAAACGTTTATCGGAATTTAGTGCATTTACCGATTCCGACCGAATCATAGTTAGAACCGATGTATACTTGTATACTTATATTATATCAGTATTTATTGTAATCTTAAATCAATATAAATTAATTAATTTTTTCAAATCTGGTCAACAGTGAAATGCTGGACTCACCTGAATAATTAAAGTTCTGTAATTGTTCCAGTTCCGTTAAAATATCGCATTTTTATTCATGAAATAGGTTTGCCGATTTTTTAACTATCTGCCCGACGGATAGATTTTGGTAAATTTTTCAGCATCATATCGGTAGTTTTTGTATGCCCGACAAGTTACGAAAAAGACACATTTTTAAAACCGGTAGAAATCTATTAATATATGGAATGTGGCGCCTCGAACCCCTTACAGTTCGGTAGCAGTCTTATCCATGTCCGAACTAAACTCATAACTTATAGGCTTAGCTTTTACGGAGCCGAGAGGAATCGCACGTGCACATCAAAATCGGTGCTTTATAATTGGTTTGTCGATCTGCCAACATCAAGCGGTACATACAGGCTGTGCGCAGTGGCCAGTGCAACCACCGTAGCCGCCGATGCCACTGCAAACTTGGCCAGAAGCAGGCAAGCAAAAGACGCTAAGTGAATTAAAATAATGCTGATGATCATAATGATGATGGAACTTGCTGGCTAGCTGGCAGGCTGGCTGGCTGGCTGGTTGGTTGGTTGGTTGGATGTTGCTGAAGCTAAAGAGGAGGTTGTTGGCTGATTCTTTATGCCTGGCTAGCTCTGATGATTCTATTTATTACATGGCGCGCACAATTTGCAATTCCTCGTTCTTTTTGCTGCATTTTAATTATTTTGCCATGCCGTTAGTTTTAATAAAGTTGCTAACTGTGAAACAACGTGACTGCCCGAAACGAGCCGTGGCCAAGCGAAAACGAGCATTTAATCTACGGCGAAAGTGTCAGCCCCTAGTCAGGAGTCCCAGTCCCAGTGTCGGTCGCAGTCCCAGACATACACATGATTAAAATCTCAGCAGTGCACCGCGGTTTGGGAAATTCGCAGAAAAATTCTTACACGCAAGCGGGACAGCTGAAAAGCTGCAACAACAAGCCTGACGAGTTAACACCCATGACCGATCGACATCGAACGACCAAAGAGGTTGGGCTCTGCGTTCGCGTTTGCGTTTCGTACGAAATTTTATCACGCAAGGCATTCTTATGATAAGCATCAAGCAAGAGAAGCCTGCTGCTGCTGCTGGTGGTGGAGTCAGATTCTTAGATCGGACCAAACAGAGATCGTTGATAGCAACAAAATGCGCGCCAGCAGAAAACACGCCCCAAAACAAAAGCCTTTAGTGAGGTGATGGCGTCGTTTGCTCTTTTTTATCAACGACTAACGATCTACGCTAAACATTTTCAAAAATGCATTACTAAAAACGCAACAAAAACAGCTTCCAGGCACACACATACAGTGAAGAAAAAAGTTTTCGTACATATACTTGTATAATAGTGTCGTGACAAATATCAATAAAAATCGGTCTTTATTGAAAATAAAGTGGGTGATTAGGATATGATTGAAGAAATATTAAAGAACATAAAAATATATTTTATTGGCATATGTATGTATCGAAAGGAATACAAAATAAAAAGCACCTGATTTCGAAAGGCAACAAAACACATACTCGTACATATGTATATCTACGTATGTACATACATATATTCTGAGACAGTGCCATAAAGAGTAACGAGCTTAAATAAAATATATTTAGCTCGGTTGGCTTTAAAAAATGAAGCTATGAACACCAAAAATATGGCTCCAGCTGTGAAGCACGAAGGCGTAACTGTGAAGATGGGGGTGTACGGCTTCAGAGCTAGGATCGGTAAATTAATACAAAAACAAGTAAAAAAGCTAAAGTCGGGTGTCCCGACTTTGAAATACTCTGTACATATGTTTACAATAATTATAGAAAATAAAAAAAATTAAGAAAATAAAAAAAAAAAATTGATCGATTTTACCTCTCTCGGTATTCGAACTCACGTATAATTGCACATTTACATAGCAATTGCGTCTGTGTGAGTGTATGTATGCCTATGCGCATCTATTCGTGTCTGTGTAAGAATTTTCGCAGTCAACCAAACAGCAACATCAACAACAGCCGCGGGCAGCGCTTGAGCAGCGCTGCAGCAGCAAATATATTTATGGCTATAACTTCTCGTTAAATCGGTCTATCATAGTTAAACTTGGTATACGGACATATAATAACCAACTGGGGGTATTTCCAAAATTTTAGTTCAAAATTCCAAGAATTACGGGAGTTACGATTTGCGGGGTAGAGGGGGGAGGAAGGGAAATTCCAAAATATACATTTTCTGCGTATTCACATAAGGCATCTGGGACTAAAATTTGGTGACCATAGGTCTTATAGTCTCCGAGATATAGGTGATAATACGAATGGAAAATCGGGAAAACCCCCATAGGGGGGAAGTGAGGGGGAAAATCAAAAAAATAAAACAAACTCGTATAGAATACACACATAACGCATCTTTGTGCAAAATTTGGTGTCTCTATCTCTTATGGTCTCTGAGATCCAGGTGTTCATACGGACGGACAGACGGACAGACGGACAGACGGACAGACAGACAGACAGGGCTAGATCAACTCGTCTCGTCATGCTGATCAAGAATATATATACTTTGTGGGGTCTGCCACGCCTCCTTCTGCCTGTTACATTTTTCAGCTCCCGCAAACCTAATATACTTCTGTACATTTCATGTACAGAGTATAATGAACAAGCACCTGTACCTTTAGATATTACAAGAGTGCGTCCTAGGCAGCGTTAAATGTGAGAATATGTTTGTTTCGTCAGGTTCATATGGAACACACCTCATATGTAGTCGAGCGGCTGCTCTACAATTAAATATGTGTAACTAATCTACAGACCTAAATCCTATTGAGCATATTTCGAATATACTGGACATTTCAAATCACCAAATAACGTTAAAGAAGTCTCTAAAGGAAATCACTAAAATGTTACTGCCAATGGAGGCTCGAGTTAAGCAATACGTACGTACACTTTTTTGTTCACAGTGCAGACATGCAGCGAATGTGGGCGTGGCAGGGTGTTTGTAGGGCTCTCTGCAGCGTTCAACAAGTGCCAAGTGTTTGCGCCAAGCGTTGATTGTTCTTATCTCTTGGGCAGATCGCGTCAGCTCCATGGAGCCGGGTCTGCCAGACCGATCGGAGAGCAGTCAGCCAGTAAACCAACCAGCCAGCCAGCTGCATGTGGCGTGAATTGCATGCGTAGATACAACATAGAGATTGTTGTACTTGTCTTTAATGTTGTTGTTGTTGGTTTGCGTGATGTGTTGCCTGCTGGCGCTCGAAAGCGTAGCAAAAAGCGAAATAAATGAAAAAAATGCCCCAAGCGTGCTGCAAAAAGTGGTGCAAGCAAACAAGTGATGAATGTCCGTGTTATGCGATCTAATGATCTAGAAATGAAGTTAATAAATCGTTTAACTAGACGACGCAGCGTAGCGTTAAAGAAGCGAAAGATGAGCAAACTCGTTCGTTCGCCAAGACGACCACCGGTAGGCAGCATGTGTGCGACAATTTGCGCAACGTTATAAATATGTATGTTTGCCCCAGCAACTACAATTTGCATAAGTATTCTACTAAAACACATAACAAATTACAACAATTTAGCTATGGAGAGAAAACGAGCGCACACGCGTCCATTTTGCAAGCCGGCTCGGAACATAACGGCACTTCTCGCAGCGAATTGCAAACAACGGTGGATGCGCAATGCACAATTAACAAAAGTAAGGCAAACTATTTATGCACATACATATGTATGTATGTTACCGACTTATTAAACTCACTCAATATGGAAAAACGTCGCACTTTTTATAAAACAACAAATGTTTGTAATTTCAAACCAAACAAAACCGTCTTTGTCTTTTCCTAATGTCACGCGAATGCCACAGGTTACATTTGGCGTTGCCAGACTGTTCAGATGTGGGCAGCACTGACCTGTCGCAGCCCTCGCCACCCACGCAGGCGCCAAATTTAAATTCGCAACACATTCGAGTTAGTATCCAACATATTTATTGAAATATTTTATACCTTATATATTTATGTATATTATATAGTACAAATGCAATATTTTCACATAAATTACATCTAGTATAAATAGGCAGTCATTTTAGTGGTTGTGTGTAATATAATTTTTAATGTGCATCTAATAGAAAAATGCAAAATTACTCAATTGCTATTTAATGTCTAGTGTTTTATATGAATACCTAAAACTACATGTCTAAAGGAGAAATTTGTGGAGCTCCGATGAGTCAATCTGTAAATAGTAAAGAGAAAATTTAATCATTATTGTGAGAATGGAATCAGCACATACATCAAATCAAAATAAACACATTTTAATTTTTAAACTGTTTTGTTAAAGAAAAGCTTAAAGAAAAACTCACCTTGTAGCAAACGAAACAGACACTTGAAATTCAAGCAATCGTAGGCATTAAAGACGGCTGTAAGAAAAGAAGCACAGATTCAAATTTAAAATATGTTTTATTATAAGATGTGGTTTATATCAAGGACTTAAATTCAGAAAAAAGTTTGAATCAAGGAAATTCTTTAGTCTAACATATATTAAAAAACATCATAACAGAATTATTGGAGAAAATATTAACAAAATAAAAAGTAAATGCAACTTGAAACACACCTTGTAGACTCCACAAGCCAGCTGCAAATAATACGCGCAAATGCAGGGGAATTGAGAACTTATATGATAAATCGTAAGGAAGTGTCCGAAAAATGTGCCATATGTATGAAGATAACTGCAAATAGTAAAGAAAAACATTTTGATTTATTCATGACAGAAACTTATTGAAGTAAATAGTATTAGCCTTTTCATCAGTTATACAAAACAATTCACACTAATCACAATATTTCATAGGTGTCCCAAGGTAAATAGCAATATCATCATTGAAACGGTCTTTCGTACTTAAGAACAAAAAAAAAGTTTTGTTTGTGAAAAGCTAAAAGAAAAACTCACCTTCTTGTAGCACGAAATAGACACTTGAAATACAAGCACTTGTAGGCATTAAAGACAGCTGCAAGAAAATAAGCATAAATTCAAATTTAGAATATGTTTTATTCAAAGATGTAGTTTATATGAAGAACTTGTAATCAGCAAAAAGTTTGAATCAAGGAAATTCTTTAGTCTAACATATATTAATAAACATCATAACATAGCCATGAGAAAATATTAACAAACAGAAGTAAATGCCATTTAAAACACACCTTGTAGACTTCACGAACCAGCTACAAAATATACACGCCATTGCGGGGGAATTATGAGAATTGATGAGAAAATTCGAAAGGATATATCCAAAAAATTTGTCCATGTACGATGAAGATAACTGCAAAAAGTAGAGAAAATATGCTGGCTTATTTATGATAGAAACTCATTAAAGTAAATAGTATCATCTTATTTATCAGTTATAAATAAAATTCACACTAATCACAATATTTCATAGGTGTCCCAAGGTAAATCACTATATCATCATTGAAGACGTTCTTCATACTCAAGAACTATACTAAGACTCACCTTAGAAAGCGTAACGCGTGCGTATGTCTTCAAGTTTCTTGCAGATCTGATTTGGTGTGCGGAACATGTCGCTAGCAATGCTTTTCTGCTTTGCTGCCTCAATAGACAAGTATTGCTCACATAAATCGCCATCCAGGACGTTCTTTACGGGATAATAAGAGCTGCGATAACTCAAATGATCGCGACCACACAAGGGCGGATTCTCGTTGCGCATATGCATCTCAAGATGCTGGAAAAAGTCGTAGTCCTCGCGACTAGTGAAGGGCACAAAGGCGCCCACAGTTCCACTAAGGGTAGCATAGATCAGTGCTTCGGAGCCACCCGGAATGAGGGTTGCCTTTTGTAAAGACATGATGATCTCGCCAACATGGAAGGAGCAAATGTTCTCAGATTTTTGCGAGGCGCCCGATAGTAGACCGCGATCCCACAGCGACTTGGTGCCAGTCGGATCATCGTCCACATCATCCGTAACAGCATGTGGGAGACGCTGGATGCTCAAATTGCCAAATTTATCGGCTATAGCAATAGTGTCGTAGTCCAATAGAGTTGTAGCCGTTACCCAACGTGGATGTGTGTCATCGGCAAATATAATCAATTGATTCTCTGCACGACGATAGCGTATGAAGAACACAGATTCTTGTACATCGGACACATACACGCGATGTCCCATAGCTTGTATATTGACAATCTGGTAGGGAATGTGTTTGTTCTCGCACTTGCGCAGCAACTTTTTCTTGCCGAGATCATAAATGCGCAACATGCGACCGCAACCGGCTAAAAGACGACCCTGGAAACCACACAGAGCTCCCGGTATATCCTCAGTTTCGGTGCGATGCATAAATTCTATGCTGGAGCAAGTCGGATCGATTTTATAGACATCGATGCAGCCACCTTGCGAAATGCGCGGATTCAACTGGAGATCCTTGGCTATGCCCACAGCCAGATAATAACGATTATCAGCCGCTATCGAGAATTTCAGCAAAGCCATCGACATAATAGCCTCGTTCTGTGTCAGCGGTATGGTGAACATGGTCTGGCCATGCATCGCATCCAGACAGCGTATCTGGGAAGCCCATAGGCCAAGACCGGCTTTTGGTGCTGAAAAGACATCCTCCGGCAGCACTTCATTAATGAACGCATTGGCCATCTCCTTGGCCAGATCACGTTCCTCTTCGCCCGCTGCACTACGCATTTCCTCGGCCATTTGCTCCTTGCGCGCATTCTTCGTTTCCTCGGTGTAGGCATTGTGATCTGTCTCTGCAATCAACATGCGTCCTGTATCCGGATGTATGGCGAAAGTACGTGGCGTAAATTGCAACGGAAAAGCCACCTGGTTGAATACTGCTCCAAGTTTCTCCAGCGCCAGAATACGCAACGTGTTTGTTGAAATGGCTACAATACCCTCGCTACACTGTTCGCTAGAGAATCCAGACGCATACTCCAACGTTTCATAAGAGAGCGGCGTCAAATGAAATCGATTTTGATGATAATACGAGAGCCAGGTGCGACTGGACATGGCTAATACTGCCTCAGCGCCTTGCATTCGTATGCGGAAGAGCTTCACTGGTCGTGAGCCCAAGTAACGTGTACGTGTGTCCGCCAAATCACCCGATACGGGGTCCAAGACAGTACGCAGCAGGACACCATTACTCAGTCCAATATTCAAATAGATAGTGCCCTTATTCGAGCCTCCACTGCGCTGAGGCACATCATCATCTAGCGGACCGCCAGCGCTCGTTGTGCTTTCAGTGTGGCCCATTTCGACCAGACAGAGGGATTCGGCGGGCGAAGGCAAAGCCTGCATAGAGCAAGGCGATAGACAATTGTTTGGATCGAGGGATAAAATGCGCACAGTGTTGTCTGCCAAGCCCACGGCCAAGAACCAAGAGCGTTGCTCGCCCTCTGGCACAGTTCCCAGCGCCATACACATTATCTCAGCAGGCATTTCTGAACGTTCCGTGTATTCATTAAGTTCACCAGTCTGCAAAGCCAGAGAAGCAGAAATTAATGAAAAATTTGAATGTGGAAAAATTATTGTTTAAAGTTATAGGTAGATTTAAGCTCAGCACTGCAGGACACATAGTGTCTCAACACGATTGTTCTTTGTGTGTTTTTGTCATCAGGGCATGGTGTAACTAAACTATAACCAACTTTTGCAATTATCTAAAGCTAATGTTTCTTTTCTGCAAGTTTCGTTAGTTTAGCTAGCCTTTCTATATGGATTTCGTTCTCAATTGCTTACCGGATCCATTTCGAAGTAGACCAACTCGCGACCCGACAACGTGATGACCACCTGCCTTTGGTTCACCGCACATTTGGTGATAGACTTCTTTCCAGGTGCTTTCCACTCGTTTACACGCTTATCGGAGCGTATATGCCTAATGCCATCTGGATAGACTTGTACCAGGGCGTCATCGCCTAGGGCTGCACAGCATAGTGTTGGCGTAGTGCCCAGGAAACCGCTGTCCGTTACTTCCTCAACTGTTTCACCAATGCTAAGGACCAGCGTGGCATTCACGAAAGACACTATGATGTAAGCATCAAACTCATCTAGAAAATATCCAAAATATAGACAAAAGCTTGGTTTAAATCAAAGTTATACTACAAATTCGGCTGTCTATCTTATGAAAAAATCGATCAAGGAATTGTTGATATTTATATAAAAAATATTCAAGTTTGTTTTTTTTTTTTAATAATTTCGATAATATCAACAACCCATTTGGACATTGAATAATCAGTTTATCAAATGTAATCAATGGATAATTCAGCTGAAACACGGTTGATAAGTTATCGCATCATGTTCAATGTCTTGAATGTGGAACGAACTTAGTTATATAAAATTCGTAGATTTTTTTTTAAATTTGTATGTAGTGGTAGTATCTGTTGTCTTAAAAGCTGCATAAATGTTGCCTTACCCATCGCTTCACAAAAGACAAATATAATTATTTATATTCATGACTTTTTATATCTGTTCGATATTGTGTCACACAACAAACAGCAGACGTCTGTGTTTAAGCGCCTGAAATAAGAGAGAACTGGTGGTTGATAACTTGTGACTTTGGATCGTGTTTGTATTTAAGCTATACATATGAATATTGTGTTTTTATCATCAATGCACCAGTTGTTTGATTAGAAACGATTCACTTGCTAGCAAACTTACAACTAACTTAGTCATTAAGCAAAGGAGAAAAGCCTTTTCTACTTACCATCAGCTCGTTTCTTAACAGTCCATACAGCATTTGGATTGCCGGGTAGTTCAGACACTGCCATTTCAGAGACCTCCAGGCCATGTCGCAAGACTCGTAAAGTGGATCGTGGACCACGACCACAGAGCACATATAATTGTGGTGTATCTTCATTGGCCAGATCGGCAACTTGTGACGTTATGATGGGAGCAAACGATGGCAGCTCATCGACCAACACGAGATTTTTCAATGCACGTGGTGCAAAGAAGAAAGTCTCGCCCTCTTCCAAGGGCATGGCGGAGCTAAATTCGGGTTCATCATCATCATCGCCCAGATGTGCAATCTGATAGAGGTAACTATTGTGTTTGGGAAATAAAGGTAAGTGAAAGTTAAGGAATTAATTAATTATGGTACTTACTGATTTCCAAATTCGCTCGCCACAAACAGAAAACCAGTCTTGAGCACGCACATAGCCGTTGCGGGAGGTACTGTGTCGAAATATTTAAGCTTGATCTCAGACACTACATCATCGTCGGTTTCAAGAGTGATCTTAAAGATGTCACCTTGCTCTGTTTGCAACAAAAAGAAATACATGCTCTTGGTACGATGCGTGGCGGAGCAAATAAAGATCATGCCGCGTTCTGGGTCGTCCAAATCATTACGCCGACGTGGAATGGGACAACGAATGTCGTGCTGATCGCCAAGATTCTTGTAAGTCAGATAATTCTCCGAGCAAATGAGTACGCCTGAAGGACCGTCATTGCCGCCGGGCACAGAAACCAAGAAATTGGCATGCTCCTCCAAAGGTTCAGAATACTTGCGCACCACATGGTTTAAGCCCAAGTCCAGTTCGTAGAATGTGAGCGTTTGTTGCGTACGCTGTGCCGCATCACCTGTAAAGAATTTGTTATTAAATAATTAATGAAAGTTATATCTAAATGTGAAGCAAATGTAGGCAATCATATCAGTGAAGTGTTGCTTGGCATTTACAGCAACACCAATGGTTCCGTTGCCACATTTTTCTAGCGTCATGTACACAGCAATGTCTTTGGTGTGATATCCCAAGCCACTGTGAATTACAGCGCCAAAGGTAATGTGAAAGAATGCCTACCTGAAGGATCCAAGTCCGCTTCTTCGTAGTCTATTTCCAAACAGGCAAACATGGGATTATCGAAGCCCACGTCAACACCGACCATGTGATAAGTTAAAGCATTAGATTTGTGTGCCTCCAAAGGCGAAGATATCGTCAGACGTGCTTGGGCATCCCGATTCATAATGTACGCCAGCTTTTGCTTCTCAACAGCGCCAATCATTACGGCACGTCCCTTTGGATCAATGGCGAAGTACTGACCCGGCACAATACGCCGACATCCAGACTTTCCAAAAGTTTCCTGGTGCACCTTTTCCAAAGAATTCTTGGTCGGATTAAACTCAAGAATAACAATGCGACCGGAATCAGAGCCCACGACAATGTAATCTGAATAAAAAATAAAATTAGCAATTTAATAATGGTTCCAACAGGTAGGAGAATTTTTGAGGTTAGGTTATCATGTAGCTCGAAGTTTCAGTTCGCCACACCACGTGTTTAAAGGTGGTGGCAAATGCGACGCCAAGCTGAATTTTTCTTGCATCTAGACTAGGATATAAAGTCTTACTGAGGTCAACTACAGAAGCCTTGCCCCAATAGGGATTTGTGCTAATTAAAGAATACTACTACATTGGCTTTACTAACCTTTAGTGCCGCCTGTCAAACGAAACGCCATTAGCGCACGTATGCATCCAAAGATCTCAGTCGACATTAATGTGTGCACTTTGCCAGTGTTGGGGTCCGGCCGTAGCAGCTCCAGCGACTTGCCACGTGACAAGAGCACCTCTTGCTGCTTGCCACCGGAAAAGTTGCCGTGCACCGCATGTGTAACTCCCGTACCCTTCTGTAGCGTTAAATTGTACAAATACATGATGTGACTTTGGTAGTTCCGTCAAACTCAATACCAAGAACTGCAAAGACAGAAAAAATGTGGTTATGTACAGTCACACAAGACATGTCAAAAATATAGTTTTATTCGTGAAAAATTTGTCCTGCTTGAAAACCATGATGGCAGTAAAGGTTCGTGCCATCTAACGATGCACATAAGCAGCCTTTTTTTTTTTTTATTTAGCACGTTTCAAATTGCGACCAAATCACAGACATCTCTGCTTTCTGGAGATACATCGTGCACATATTTTAGCTCCCATAAAGTCAAAAACGCATAATATATCTCATGCATATTTACCTTTTATTGGTTTACTCAAGTATTTTGCACATTTTATAATCGATGCACTTGGGTTAATATTTTAATTTCAGAATTTCTCTGCCGGCGCCATCTTACTACAGCGAGCGATGAAAGAAAAATGGACGGAATTGATGCGAAGCTAGCTGTCATTACAACTGCGAACTAGAACGCCGAAAATAGTGTTGCACAATTACCAAACGAGACGATTGGTATTTTTAAGCAAGTTCAATAGCAATCGTGTTGATATTAGGAAATATCGAAAGAAACAACGTGAAAAATCAAACACATAAATCCTAAAAGGCAAATTGTTTAACTAGGGTTTTCGCAGCGTATCTGCAATAAAAAAAGAAAATAAATACTTAAAAAAGTGCTACCCTTGCTTAAAATATACCGGCAAACTAAACTTTTAAACAACACTACATAATATGATTGTTGCCTTTCGATTTGTAACCAGAACTTATCGGTTCAAAGAAGACGCCTATTGTTATTTTGGGGGCATATGTTGATGTTCTGCTTTGCTTTAAGACTTCTGATTTAAGATCTGATTGATTAATAGCATAATTTTTTTGACTATTTAAGATGGATTGTGCACCACTGAACTTGGTAATTGTTTTTGACGCTATTTTTATAAAATTTAATTTAGTTCTGTTTAAAGGCGCACTTTCACGAACGCCGCTCTCAGCGTTTTATGGCGCGTCATCGTTATGAGGAGGCAGCCGCTGCGCTGGATATATCCCTATTATATTTATCAGATGCATACAAAAATGTTACGCAAGCCAAGTCGAGGGAGGTACTCGATACACAGAAGTGGGAGTTTGAGCGAAAACTACGCCAGATAGAAATTCGTAAAAAGCAGCACGGCCTCACAAAACTAAAGGATTATGCACCGCTTAAGGAAACCAGCCCTCTGTTGCCACTGCGTCCAGAACAAAGCGGGTCCGCTCAATCTGTAGCAAAGGCCATTGATAAGACAGTGCAAGATTTTGATGCTAAGTTCACGTCCACAATGACTAGACAGAAGACTCCAATACCTTCGGCAAGAACAACGCCAACGATCATAGAACCACATATGTTAACGGAAGCCATGTCCAAGAGCGAACCGCAGGTAGCCCAGATGCATGCAGTAGGTGAACAGAGTGAAGACCACGATATACCGTCACTGGCACCACTAGAGCTACCATCGTTTGACTTCACCATGTTTACCAGCTCCTCGGCCCCATCGCTGGCAAGCTACGCCGGCATGGCTGAAAACTTCCAGAAGTAGCTACTTAACTAAATTATTAATAGAGAATAAGGGTTGTTCATATAATAAGCCATGTGTGTTTTATTTGGCAAGTAGGCTCTTCATCAAATCATCCATGTCAGTCTCCGTATCCACGTTTTTTAACAGCATCAGAACCTGTGCGTCCAGCTCGCAAAGAATGTCCGGCTTGCGATATGTGATAATTAATGTATTGAACTGATGGTGTATGGTAATATTGGCCTGAACAGGTGGTAATCCGCAACGATCCAGATCGGGGACGTATATAACCTTGTAATACTTTCTGTTGCTCGTGCTCACAACAATAGCATGTTTCTCCGCATCCGCCTTGACATTGTAAACTGTTAGTGGATAGGGCATATTACGTATGCGCCATTCTATGTTTTTCTTAGTTACGCGCTTGGTCAGCAGTGGAGCTGTATTGCTTTCGCGCACTGTAAATTCCTCGCCAGTGGCGCTGTCAGCATCGGCTCCTTTGTCTTTGTTGCCACCCCAGTTGAGTTGCTTCGGTTCCTCGCCCAACTCAACCTCCCACTCCGGTTCGCCCATGAGCTGTTTGCATTTCCGCCAAGCACGTCGCTGCACAATTCCAGTGTCCATGTTGTACTCTTCGGCCATTTGCTTGCCATCAGGAAACTTGTATAGTACCTTGCGCAATCGTCCACTGATCATGGAATTCTTCTCTGCACTCTGCAGATAATTTAGCCAGTTCTGATACGACATTTTGTCTTATTAACGATGTGGGAATTGTAAATCTAACGAACTAAATTTGATCGATGGCGCAAAGCACATTTCGTTTTCTCCTTGACAACCCAGCTGGCAACTTTGTTTACATTTTGGGAAAGCGCTGCCAACTTAGTTACAATTTCAACCACAAACAAAAGAGTTGACGTGGCCGGCCGGTTGTATGACGACGTTTGGAACGGGAAAAATATACACGAAAATTTCATCACATTCCTATTTTAATCACTTCTTAAAGTAAGCTCTCCCATAGTACGGTATTCTTCGTTTATAAATAGAATACGCGCGACGACAACGCACACACGTACATCAGCATTATTAGCCGTGTGCAGTAATATTTTTTCGATAATACACCTAATTTTCTTTGCAGCGCACAAAATTGTCGCAAGAAAAAAGTAACGCGAAAAAAAATCGAACTACAATTTGCATAGTCCAAACGCAGAAAAGATGAGCTTAGTCTGGACTTTGATCGCCGCCTTTCTCTACACAGAGATTGTTGTGGTTTTGCTGCTGGTGCTGCCTTTGGCCAGTCCCAGATCATGGAATCGCTTCTTCAAATCGAAATTTTTAGCCATGTTGGCACAGCAGGCGCACATATATTTCTTCCTAATTATGGGTGTACTGGTACTTTTCCTATTGGAGGCCATACGTGAGATGCGCAAATATTCGGTGAACGAGCACACTGGTGACGTGCATTTAAATGTGGAGATGCAGCACAGCATGCGCCTATTCCGTGCTCAGCGCAATTTTTACATCTCAGGATTTTCCATTTTCCTTGTACTGGTCATTCGTCGTTTGGTCACACTAATCTGTGCCCAGGCCAATCTGTTGGCTCAGAGCGAGGCTTCCATGAAGCAGGCCCAGAGCGCCACTGCTGCCGCACGCTCCTTGCTGGAGGATAAGAAGACAGAGAAGGCCAAGGAGGCTGACGAGGACCAAACACTGAATGAGGTAAGTTGGTTACGTTTTCCTGGCATTTTGGAGTTTTTGTCCACAGTACCCAGTCCAGGCATGTTTAAAGAGCTTTGCACCCAAATATACGACAGCAACAACAACATTTATGTCTGTCGGTTTTTTTAAGCTAACCCATAGAACGTTGGTGTTTCGTTGACTACTACCAGCTGTATAAATATGGCAATGCATAAAAAAACAACAAGCACATAGACCGAATGTTAAATTTTTCGTAAACTCTTTAAACAGTTGTCAAGTCTGAGGAAACGTGTACAAGGACTCACCGCCAGAATATCCTAAGTTACCCCACTCCCAACACATTCCCCCTTGCACCCACCCAATCCAACCGACCACACACACACACACGATCTCCAATCTTGAGGCTTCTCTCAACTTGACTCGTTTTTAGCTCAACCAGCTGCGCGAGCGTGTCCAGCAGCTAACCGCCGATTTGAATCGTGAGAAGAAGGACAAGGAGGCAGTCAAGTCGCAAGCCGAAAGCTTGAATCGCGAATACGATCGCCTCACCGAGGAGTACAGCAAACTGCAGAAGCAAATCACCATCGGGGGCTCCAACAGTAAGGATGACTAAGTCCCGAACTAAAGGGGCTTAACCAACTGATAACAATGCATAAGACTTTTAACGTGGCGGTGGGGCAAAGGCAGAAAACGAAAGAATTTCACAGATTATAAATCTAAATCACCATTTAGTGTCTGCACGCCTTCTGATAACGGTTTGTTTAATATAATGTTAGTCGTCGTTATTCAAGTTATATTGTTTCTATGGCAAAAAAATGGCGAATATTTGTACTCTTCGTATTAATCTTTTGTTTGTCCAAACAAGCAACAATTAATTTCCTAATAAATATAACACACATAAAATACTCAAAAACATTCATTGTCGATGATTCATAGGCTAAAGGCCATACAACTTAAGTCCACATCATGTTAAATGCTTATCTATGCTGGATGACGTCATATCTGTACACACCTAAACAACAATTATAGTAGCTAACCGGATTAGTATGATCTGCACCTTTATACAACTAACGTCAGACAGATTAGTTTGGCAACGTTATTTAGGAAGTTAAGGTTGAGAAATAATGGAAAGGAGGCCCGGTAGAAGGCTATTCTTCAAGTGTGCCGGGGACGGCTTTATTTCAAATCAGTCTAAGCTATTCCCACCAAAAGCTAACAGAGAAACTTGGCGTTTCCGAACGTACATAATGCCACCATTTGGGCGGCATATAAAGGCAATCGCCAGGTTGTAAAACTAAGTTATAAAACTTAACTTTTTCAAGCAGTGGAAACCGTTCCTGATCCAAGTTGACAGCATCAACTTGCGATGTGTTGCCAAGGAATTCACTTTGGTGGGGATAAAGATTCTCAGTGTCCTCTGGCTTGGCTAGAATAATGGTCTTACAGCCAAAGACTTGACAAAGCAGATTATGCTTCGGATCGTAATGCAGGGGCGATATAGTGCCCTGTGGTCCCAGCCATGCTTTAATGTCAACTTCGCTTGTGGCTTTCTTACCTAAGCTGCAGTAATCAGGCACGCAAATATCGGCCTTTAAAGCGGGTATTTGAGCAAAGAGTTCGTGTTGAGCGAGATACTCAATTTCCCGGTCAGCGCGGCTTTGAGCAAATTGCCGATGCAGAAAATCTCGCAGCTTGACTAACTGCTGGGACCACTCATCGCTGGCGTAGTTGGAACCAATCTCTATGGGCACTGTGCGATTGCCGGCCACTTGCATCAAATAATTCAGATCCCGCCATTTGCGCCTAGCAGGCCAGTGATCGATCGTGTTTAGCAGCAATGCCGGTTGTAGCGCTTGAAAGCATTGCTCCTTAAAGTCACTTATGGACGGTCCATCAAGTTGTTTTATATCGCAGCGACACGGACGGCGCGCCAATACAGGCAGTATAGGCAAAGTTTTCAAGTTCTGATCCAATCCGGCGTCTAAATACTGCATCAGCGCTGCTTGCAATACAGCGGACCCTTCATATAAATTCTCTGTGCAGCCCAGAAGCTGAGCCTCGTCCAGGATTGCGCTGCACTGATCCAGATGAGAGGGGTCAGTGCCCTCGAACAGCAAAAAAAATATCTAAAGCATAACAATTAATACAAATAAATACATATTGCTAATATTTTTACCTTATAGTAGCAGCCTAGTGCATAAATCTGGCGAGTAGTCAATGGAACTTTGCTGAAATGTCCGCTGTGAATACGTTCCCAATATTTTTCCACTAGCGCGCGTATTAAATAAGCCACTTGTTCTGTGTCTGTCCCGAGATTTGCTGTCACCTGCAGTTTTCCCATAAGCTGTGCTGCGCTTTTAAGTATATAACGAGCTTCGACTTCATTTTGCAACAATTTTTCAATGCTTTCAAATGTTGGCAACAACTTAGACAACTCCAATAAGCGCGTATCCGCAATGGCGGTCATATTATTTATATTTGCGCGGCAGCAGCTGATTCAAGAGAGCAGTGCTGTAAACGTCACAGCATATTTTATATTTGCTAACACTTATGTAGATACTATCGATAACAGCCCCCCTGAAAACTATAAATCGCCGGCTACAGTTATCCTGTCATATGGAACCGAACAATAAAAAAGCCAGGATGACGAACCACAGCAAATTTAAACAGAATAAAAAAAAATATTTTCAGTCCAAGAAGCAGGTGCTCCAGGTGGGACAGCGCGGCTTTCTGGCCACGTGCAACATCAACGAGAAGGCTTGTGTGCGCGAATGCTACAATTTGCTCAATCACTACGCTGACATACTCTACGGTCCTGAAGGCCAGGAAAAGGGGCCCGAGCAGAAAAAGGAGTCATCAGAAGAGAATGCAGCTGCTACAAAACCCGATGCCGAGTCCGACAGCGATGATCTCGAAGCTGCTGCTGCCAAGTGTCGTGAAGTGCAGGTTCAGAAGAAGCTGCGTTTCCAAAACGTTGACACCGGAACCACCAACTGCGTATTCATACGCACACTACTAGAAGATCCTGTGGAGCTGGGCAAACACATAGTAGATGATATTACCGCTACCCGCAAGTCTATGTCGCGATTTGTGTTGCGATTGGTACCCATCGAGGCTGTCTGCAAAGCCTATGTTCAGGACATTGTCAATGCGGCCGGACCGCTCTTCGACAAGCACTTCCTCAAAGAACCCACTTCTTATGGGATTATCTTCAATCATCGCTATAATCAGCAACTCAAGCGTGATGAAGTCATTACTCAGCTGGCCAATCTTGTGCATTCGAAGAACATTGGCAATAAGGTTGATTTACAAAACGCTAAGAAGTCCATTATTGTCGAGGTCCTTCGTGGTTGGTGTCTAATCAGTGTGATTGACAACTATTTGGAGTGCAAGAAGTTTAATTTGGCAGAGCTGGCAAATCCAACTGAAAAGCAGAAGAAGTCAAATGGAGAAGATTCCAAATCAGAGAAATCGTTTGAAGACGCAGACTCGAAGCCCGAAGGAAAAGCTGAAGTTGCAAAGTCCGACGAATTAGTCAACAAAACCAATGCTGAAGATGCAAAGTCTGAGAATTCCAAATCTGAGGATCAGAAGGATGCAGCCATTGATTGAAGTTGGCGTTTAAAAATAACGAATAAAATTCCTTATAATTTTGTTACATATATTTGTTCACTTTTTTTAACACAACAGCTTCTCTGTTATAACTTACTGACTAACTTTGGAGTGTAGTGTGTCTTTTACCCTATCCGTGCCTTAAAGCTAAACGTAGGTTATAAAATTACCCGCCAGCCTCTTATGCATTGCGTTTCAAAAGCAAACCCACAGTACTCGCAATCTTCTCATATGCCATGAACATTAGCGCCGCCGTCAGCACTGTCTGCAATATTTTGGCCTCCAGGCCACGGAACAATCCACGCACACCCTGATGTTGTAGTATGCTGATCATTAATTCCATCATGCCAACATCTTGCTTCCTACTTGCCGCCTGGCGTGAAGTCGAAGCATCATTCGCTTCCTTACTGCGATGACGCTGTTTCGTCTGCACCAACTGTAGTGGATAGGTCAGGACAGTGGCGAATGCCTTCGCTATGGCGCCAATTACAAAAAATCCTAAGCTGCCCACCTCCCCACCCGTGAATTTCATCACATTTCGTTTCAGCATCTCGTACATCATGAACTGTAGTGCTGGATTTGAGACCAGTATGAGGGAAGGTATGGTGCCGGACCATAAACCCTTCACACCCTCAGTTTTGGCAACATATCTCAGGCCCGCCAAAAGATTTTTGTAATGCTTGTTGATCTCATCGGAGGTGCCGGCCACATCCCGCATGCGCAGCCGTGTATTGACAACCCAAAACGGTGTGGTCGTAAATACGTTTATGATGCCAGCTATGGAGCCCAGCACCAGATCCTTAAAGGCGCTTTGATGTGCCGGTGAGCCATTCGAAGCAACCGCCTTGAGAGCATGGAATGTGTAGAAATAGACAAAATTCGAAATGCAGAGACTCTGGAGAACGGGTCCCAGGCCACGATACAATGAAGCCACGCCCTCTCTAAGCACAATCTCTTTGATAACCTGCCGAGTGCTGCGCACCTCGCCGCTTTCCTCCACTGCAAAAGTTAAGGGCTATTAGTTTGGACTGGAGTTTGAACTTGGGCCGCATTTTATCTGCATATACGCAACACTAACACCCAAAAAGGCCGACCAGTCAGCCAGCTAGCTTATCAATTTATTCAGATTAGCCGGCAATCAAAGGTGATTGTGTATTGTTGGGAATTTTTAACAACTTACACTGTAAACGAGAACGCACCGTGTCCAGCGGATAGAATGTGCTCATTGCTATGCAACCACCCTGTATGTCAAATGTAAATTTGCAATATTAGCATTCCTGACCTTTGCACTACTCGCAAAAAAAAAAAAAAAACTTACGGCTGCTCCAGAGACGGCGTGCACCCAATTTTGGTAGCTAAATATCTGATTTAGTTTTGAATGGGCAACCATTTTTGTTATTGTTGTTCAATTAGTCTCGTTTTGATTGTTTATTTAGCCACACCGTCCTCCGTCGCTCTGCCCACGGCGGTCTTTGAGAAAGTTTCAACTAATCTGGACGGGCTTTTTGGTTTTCTTGACCAGTCGCGTTTAAAGTGCAGCAGACAGCGCAGTCGACGCTGATGCTTGATTAGATTACGGCTACGAAGTTGGCGTCCACTCGACGCCACCGTAACCAAATGTAGTTTAGTCTGTAGTCGTACTTTTAATTGAAATCCATTTAAAACGCTTGTAACACGCAAACTGCTACATGCATACTATGTATGTATGTACAAAAATGACGCTATTGCTACTAGAAAAGTGTTATTGTTTTTCACAGTGTTGAGCAACATGTGTGAAGCGAGTGTTGACAAATGGTGAAGAAGTGGACGAAGCAAGGAGCGCAAAAATTCAAATTTTTAAAAGCCGACATTAAAACACGATTAGAAGTTAACAAAGTTTTCTGATATTTAGGATCAAATATGTTAATTGCTAATGTATCTTGCCGTGTACTAATAAAATAAAAATTAATAATATTGGTATTGCCTATGTATTAATAAGTATAATTCGATTTTTTAAAAGCAAGTACATTTTATTTCAGACAATTTTGTTGATTATAAAAACATTATAATAATAATTATATTTAAAAATCTTTTTAAAGATTACTTTTAAAATAAAACGATTAAAAAATGCTCAACCGATAAGCTAAGAACGAAACGGTCAGAAAATAACAAAAATAACAGATACTCTAATTGTTTTAAAAAATATTTATTAATTAAATCTCTTTACAATAACAAGAACAACAATGTTTAAAATTGTTCCCGATAAGATTGATTTAGCTAGCGTTTAACTTAAAAAATAAAAACCTATTTAATCCTAAATGAATATTAAAATGTGTAACATTGTATGTATAATAAGTCCCTAAAGCAACTGATCGATAAGGCACTTATCCCGTCGCGGTTCCAAGCGAGGTTTTTTCATAAAATTAATGCCGGTCTCATTGCTACTGTTCAGCAAATCTGCTGCTTTTCTTTTTTGATGCTGTCAATATTAAAAGTTTAATTACGTTTCATGCACTAGTAAGATAATTAGAATCAAACGCACCTCATGCTCCTCCTCTGTGAGTGTGGCAAATACAAAGTTCTTGGCCTTGGCGCTTTTTACGGACACAGTTCCTGCTGTTCCATCTCCAGCGTCACCAGCGCCCTTTGTCATGCCCGCCAATTTGTTGAGCGTTTCCTTGTCGCGCACCAGAAACGAGCCGCGCACGGTTTTTTGTTGTTGCTGCATTGTGGTGACAGTCTTTGAGATCAAAAAGGGTGAGCTCTTCTTTACCTCAACCGATGATTTCTTAGCCGTAATTATGTTAAGTTTTCGCACAGCGCCCAGAGTGCTATTATTGGCCACAGCCGGTGAAAGTGGCAGGCTGTTTGGAGATGCCTCCTAGTGGAATAAAATCTTGTATATTTGCTCATTTGTAATCAACTATGTAGCTCACCCCCTTTAGGCCCTTCTCCAGCAACAATTGTTCACGTTCGTAGCGTATTTTGCGCCACAGATGCTCATTCTCCTCGTCGCCACTGCCTTCGTTTGGCTCGCCAGCATTTTCATTGCGTTGATCTTCCAAACTGAAACCGCTTTCAGAATTTTTCCACCGAAATTGTCGCTGACGTACACCCGCTTCCTCATCTTCGAAGAGCATCTCCTTTATTTTGCGTACCTCGCGTATATCCTGATCAAGCATTTTGCGGCTTTAAAAGAAAATATAAATGATGAGGCGTTTTAAAATTCGTACTTTAAATTCTCGAGAATCCTTTTCTTACGCATGTATCTGTTCTAGTTCGCTACGCAGTTGCTCGCGATCGAACTGATCCTCATCTCCAAGTTCGATATCGTATTTATCCAAATTCTGCTCATCTTCGTCTGCCGAACCCCATTCCGACTCAGAGAGTTCAGCTTCTTTCTCCAGAAAATTCGCAGCACGTAATTTGCGATCCTTTTTGGTCATTTCTACAACAATTTCATTCTCCTCCGAATCGTAGTCAACAAATGTTTCAGGCACTTCCTCAGCTTGTTCGTCGGCATCTTCTTCTTCACCATCAACGACATCATCATCTTCTTCATCCAAACTCTCCTCGTCATCGGAGAAACCCAGCGCTTTTCTTTTCTTTCGCTTCTTAGTCAACTTTTTGTTGCGTGGCTTCTCCTTTTCCAATTGCTGTTCCTCATCGCTGGATAGTATTTTATTGATAGGCAGGGGAGGTTGCTTAGGTTGTGTTTGAAAGCTGCCAGAGCAGAGGGCCTCCAATTCTTCGGTCATCTCACCACCTTCCTTAGGCTGTGTAATCGGTATTTGACTGATGATGGCATTCGTTTCGGCACCTGGTTTCTGGGTTTGCGTGAATTTTCCGGAACAGAGATCGAGCAATTCATTCTCTTCATCGCTGGCTGTCCGTTGCACCTCCTCATCAAACAATTTGTGGGCCGATAACTGTAGCTGAGTGGCCGTGATTGGAGCAATGGTTCCTGTCTTGGGTGTCTGCAGCAAATCTATGTCATCATCGTCGTCTTGGAAGGCGCGTATTATGCGATTTTTACGTTTAGTTTTCTCCGTGCTTGTCTGCTCGTCAGCCTCACTTTCGTCGTCTGATTCGGTTTCTTGGTCTGCTCCGCTGTCCTGCTCGCTTTCAGCGTCTTCTACAGCTTCAACTGCTGTCTCTACTTCTTCTTCATCATCATCTTTTATAGCATCACCTTCTTTGTCCTCCAAAATTTCCTCCTCTTCGTTTATGGTGACCTCATTTTCGTCTTCATCATAGCATTTGACTTGGCTTGGCTTTTCCTCTGGCTCATATTCCTCGTCTATGTCCATGCCTTCCTCTTCCATTTCGTCCTCCAATTTCTCAGCTTTCTTTTTGCGCAACTCCTCCAAGCGCTTTTTGGTGATGAGCGATTTAAGCTCTTGTTGCAATTTTATGTAGGCGGCCCCTGGTTTTTGCTCCTTGGCCACAGGTTCCTCTTCGTGCAGATGTATGTTGACTTTTGATACCTCCAATTTACCATGATCGGTGGAGAGAATGCTAAATACAAGCTTTCAGTTAGAATTGTCAGCTGTGGAGGATTAGTTTACTCACTTTACGGTTTCGGTGGCTTTGTGCTTTTTAGCTTCGCGTGTCTTCATCAGACGCAGCAGTAAGTCGTCAACGCCGGTTGGTTTCTTGGCAAACATATCGCCAGTTTCTAAATCTATGACCATATTGGGATCACCCTTGAGCGATGGACTTATATCAGCGCTCTTCTCCTCCTTTAGTCGTCGTAAGGCTTCGGTAATGCGCGGTGTGGCGGGTTTGGAGGGTGGCGTTATGCTTAGCGTGCTCAAATCTAGTCTTGGAAGCTCAACAATTTCTGTAACGAGCATCGGTATTTTGGGAGAAACCATCTCCGGTGCCGGTTCGGTTGTTTGCTCAATTGGTATTTCAATATGTTCAGTTATTGATTCAAGACCCTGTACTGTAGGATCTACATCGAGTGCTTTTGCCTTTAAAGCCTTTATTTCTTTTGGATTTTCCTGTTCTATATTTCCAATATCATTGTCTTGGATAGCCGGCAAATCATCAAATACAGCTGCATTATCTTTTAGTTCCAATGGTGCTGTTTCTCCATCAACATCCTCGTCATCACTATCATTTGTATCCTGCTCGTTCTCGGATTCAGATTTGAAAAATTCTGCTGCTTCTTTGGCACGTTCTTCCATCAGCTTTCTGTTATTACCAATAAATTGTTAACTAGATTCAGCTCTTTACTTTAAAAATGTATTTATTTCACCATGCATATAGGGAATTGTTTGAATTTTGAAACATATTGAAGAACTAAAAAGTTTTACTATTTTAATCATAAATTATTTTCTTTAATTCAGAATTTAAGTCGAGAATATTGCAATGAGCAATGGACCAAGGACGATTATGAAAAAGGAGATATTCTTAAAAATGTATTTCCTCTTTGGTTGAGTTTTCTTTTGCCTTTCTAATTTTCTATTTTAAGAAAATATTAATCTCAATAAGAGTTTAATAATAGACTTCAATAAAGTTTAACAATAAAACGCAATCCCTCTTTATTTAAAACGAAAATTCGGAAATAATTACGTTAGGTTTGTGCTTAAAGAAATGTTCAGAATCTATTTCCCTTAACTTCTTTTTATTTTAACTTTATTTATTTTTGTTATTGTTATTTTTACTTACGCATATGCTTGCAACTCCTCGCTATTCATGCGCAGGCGTATCGATTGTCGTGGCTCTTTGGCTGGCATGGGACTGCCACCAGCCAGAGCAGTGGCCATTGGTCTGTTTACAGTCCGACGACTGAGGAATTCCTTCAGCGTGCGCGGCTTGGGCTGATGATAAGGCACACTGATGTGTGCCTCGCGATGCAGACGCTGCTGCTCGCTCTGTATGACCTGCATCTCATCCAGTGCCTTCTTGGCAGAGGCCTGTAATGTACATACACATATAGTTCTTCAGATCAAGGGGAGAAATATGTATGTGTATAGTTTCTTACCCTCATGGGCTTGGCTTTGTGGGGTTTGTCCGTTGCCATAGACTCGACATTTACATCTTCCTGCTCCATTTCATTGCCTGAGTTTTCGGCATGGCTCTGCTCGGAGTCCGAGTCTATAAGGCCCTTAAGTTTTCTCTGCACTGCAGTTTCCTCGTCGCTCTTATCACTGTCCACAATTTGTTTCTTTTTCCTTGAAAGCTTTTTCTTCTTTTGCTTTTTTGGTGTGTTCGATGCATCTGATTCCTCGCCTGCTCCGGCATTTGCCTGCTCTTCTTCCTCGCTGTCTGTGTCAATAATTGCAGAAATCTTGTTCTTCTTTTTGACTTTAACTGGTGTTACGTCGATGTTTTGGTCAGCCTCAGGCTCTGATTTAGCATCCACTTGTGCTGTTGTTTTTGCTGTTTCTGCGTCCTGTTCCTCATCGCTGTCCAACAGCCGTCGACTTTTAGTCCTGGGTGATATTTTCTTACTGAACGCAGTGCCTGTGACCTCGTCTCCATCGCTATCGTCCGACATCAGCAGACTTTTGCCACCTAACAAGTCTTCGTTCGAAATGTTCTTTTCGTCTTCGCCTTCCTCATCGACTTGTAGTTTTTCCATTGAGTCGTTTTCTGGCTCATGGTTTTCTGCACTCGCTGCACTTTCGTCCATTGCGGCAACTTCTCCGCTCATTTTTCTACTTCTAGGTCAAATGCGTTGTAAAAAATACACAAAAAAATGAACTGCAGTTGAACGCTCACCGGAACACACACTTGCACGTATAATATGCAGTAAATGGCGCGAAAGGCACAGCTGGGCGACAGCGTTGCCACACCGAGATCACAAATTGCAGCCATTGTGAATGGGTATGTGTCTTGGCTAAATGTAACGAAGTGCGTATAAAAAATGTAATAGCAGTTAATCGCTCAACGCTCACCAAATATTATAATACTTGAAATATTTTATTTTTTAAACTGCATATGTCTATTCTATTCATTAAATGCATACGTATGTATTTTTATGACTTTCTCAAGACAGCAGTGTTTGGGACTTTAAAGACAGATAAAAATGGTATTCACTCAAAAAAAAAAAAAAATTTATATTTTGGAAAATTAAGGACGAGATGTGAGTTACCGAATTCCAATTACAGTAAGGTATATAATAAGTATTTGGAAGTATGTATGTATATATGTTCGTTTTAATTTACTTATCATTGGATCATATACATACATACATGAAATGTGGATTTGAAATATTAAAAAAATAATAATAAGTACGCTTATGGTATGATTCAAACCAACAATAGATGCTAAAAATGATGCTGTGGGTGTTTTATCATTTTAAGTCTTATTTTTCCAAATCTGAAGCGTTGTGCTCTCATATGTATATGTATGTATATTTTTCTTTCTAGGATCTTTTCTTTTTATTTGATGAAAATTAAGTGTCAACTTGGTAGTAATAATTATGGATCGTAGGAAAGAACATTAGTTGTTAAGGGCTATACGTATAAAGCAATAATGAACCAATTTCTCTTATTCTTATAAATAGTTGCATTTAAAAAAAAAACGTTGTAACAATATAACAGTTGTTAGCCATTAATATTAAATAAGCTTTACAAGCATATTATATTGTCGCTTGTAAGTACGAGAATAAGAAGAAGTGCTTCTTATAAGTAATAATATAAAAGGAAACATCAAGATACAAAAATATACATTTTGAAAATAGGCATTTAAAGTCGTTATAACCGATCCAAATTTGATTATGTTACGAGTTCGGAACTCTAAGAGTAACATGTTTACAGATTCTAAAGGAGAAATGCTCGTATATACCAAGAATAATTACAAAAACACCACAAAAATAAAAAAAGCCATGAAAAATTAACATTTTAAAATAATATAGAGCTGATAGTGTATATGTTTCATAAACAAGCAAAATGTTAATGCTAGTCCGATTTTTAAATATCCTCTGCCTACCCATTTTCCAGCCTCAGTCGTTTCATTAAATTTGTAAGATTTTTAGATTTTTTTGGTCAGATATGCTCATACTCTTTTCATTACTGATGTATGCGCATATATTAATACAACAAAACAAAACTTGTTCTAAGATAGAATCTTTTTCAATTGAAGTTCATTTAGTTGTATTTTAAAAACTTCAGTGCGTTTTGGTGCACTTTTTTGCTGAGTGTATGCATATATTTTTCATCAGACTTAAGCACCGTGAAGAATTTTTTCCACTGCAGCCATCGGCACCTTACGCTGCATAGCTCGCTAAGCTCACTTGTCTTGTCTGTCTGCGCTTTTAATTTTGACCGTTAAAAACAACAACCTTTTAACAGCACAATCGAAAGTAATCACACAAACGCATTTAAATATCCATTCATACATACATACTATATGTACATGCATCAGTATGTATGTATGTAGACATGAGGGCGCCAGCTCAGGTGTATTCCACCTGTGCAGCGTTTCGAACATTTATTCTGTCTCGCATCTTAGCGAATTGTTGCAGTTCGTTTGATTTGGTGGATCTGCTTTCTCCGCCTCTCTCTCTTGCCCATGATGCGCATTTCTCTTTCACAGTTCACAGTTGGCAGCTGAAAGGTTTTTTTTTCTGGTTTTTGGCTTTTTGGTTTTCGGTTTAGGGTCATTAAATAACCCCGTGCGCTGCCTAATGACGTATCCATTTAAAAGCCATAAATAGCATTAAAATGCAATTAAAGCTGTAACACAAACAAAAACAAACAGAAAACCAAACCAAAATAATATACGATGCCGTCATTAGGTTCATATTTACGCGCTAAGGTGTAACTAAGCGATTTTAAGCCTTAATATTTAATTAACAATACACATATACAAGAATATATTTTCTCAATGAAAGCGAAAACCGAAGCTGAGCTCGAATCGTTTTTATGGGCGTCGGCGTCAGTCAGAAATTCCATGGGCATTTCACTTTTGTAGAGCTATCCATTCTGAGTCGATTATTCGATCTATTAATGATTAATGATATCGCATTGCTTTCTTGAGTTTCGGAGACAAATGCTTATCGCACAGATTGCGCAACATTTGCCACAATCTTGCCATAAACTAAGCCAAATATGTCTATAGAGATGCATATATGCATAGAAAGCGACGATTATGTCCATAGATTTTATAGTTTCCGCACTATTATCATACAAGTATGTATATGTTTGTATTTATATATAATACTTATTAATAAACCAAACAGGCAGCGTTTTGTGTAAACTTCTGTTGTTGATCAATTAGCATAAAACTTGAGCGAAAATTTCTCTTTCATTTGCCAAAAAGAAAGAAGTAAGCAAGCAAGAGTTTTGGCCGAATTTTCGTTTCCCTCTCCAAAGACTAATAATACAGCTTTTGTATTAGTTCGATTTCATTTTCATAGACTCCTACAAGTTTTTGCGAATTCAATACAGTTGATTAATTTTCTATTAATTCATTTGTGCTCTTAGCTTTATTAAAAATGTTATAAACGGTATGTGTTTCAATCTAAGAAAAGATTTCTTATGTAATGAAGTGTTTGCGGCGTTTTTGTTATAAAATCAAAACATAGAACTATTTATTTATTTAGTTATTATAGCTAGCCTAGGGCTAACAGAGAAATTAAAGCCGTAAGCGACAAAGGTTTTCGAAGAGTAATTTATACACTTAAGGGGTATTCTTTAAATCCGCGTATATTATTATATTAATTTTGTATCTTTTGGAAGTTTATAATTAGTTATATTTTATATATAGTGGGGCTTGAGAGTATTTGTATTGGGTGGTTTTTAGGGAGATTCTAGTTCCGTGCGGCTGCTGTATTTGATTAATATGCGGTTAATATTTATTTATTTCTACTATACTTTGTATCTTCTACTTACAATGGTCAATGGAATGTATTTATCCACAAATAAGTGTTATTTTAAAAAGGCTGTAAGAAGTAATTCCCTAAGATATTTGTTTCATCAGATTTTTAAATTCATGTATATCTGGAAAAGCGTTATATTTAGGAAATATAGTAATTGCGAAATAAGATACGTGTGTGTGCAAATTATTTGATAGAATGACAAAAGCTTTATTTTAGGAAAACCCTATCTGAAGTAGCATAGAATTTTGTCATAGTAACAACTATTCAAAGCTATTCTTTAATTTAAAAGTATTTAAATTTTTTAAAACATTTTTTTGTTCTTTTTCTTTTTTGAATGTTATTTTGTAGATGAAACAATTTTTATATAGTCCGATACAATACAAGCAATATACTTGTGCGTCACAAACATCGCATCAAATTTGTAATACCCCTCTTCGAAGGCTGTAGAAATGAACTGTTAACTGTTTTCGATGCGTTGCTTGGTGCGATGTGTTGGCAGCATCAGCATCTTTATCTATAGCATAGATTTGGCTTTCGGCCACTTACGGTATTTCTGTCGTTCGCTGCGAGGTAATTTGCATATTTGCTCAGCCAGCTAGTCAGTCAGCCAACCGTCGAATGAAAGTGAAAATCTTTGTTGCTGACTAAATTGAAAGATACACATAATTTCAAATCTCTTTGAAAATGTGTTAAACAAATATTAGTCGTGCTAGGCATTGATATTTGTCTTGAAATTTGGAAATTGGATTTCAATCAATGCAAACAAAAACCATGATGGATGCAACAGCAGTGTCTCGAATGTTTCATTGTGAAGGCTTTAGAAAAGGTTTCTATGCATGTTACTTATACATGTTTACCGACATGGCTTATGTAATAGTAGAGCTTAGAGTTTTGCAGCTGAAGACATCTTAGCTTTCAATAGTTTCGGCCGTTTATCAAAAGCACCACTTTTTTTGTTCGCTATCATCTGAAGAGTTTGGTCTCTTGTTGTTCAGTCTGTGTTTCGCAATTAAATCCAAATTGCACACGACTTCCATTTATGTGCCACAAAACGGCCTCCATGTACACCGCTCCTTGCAACATGCAAGTCGCCTCGCCTGCACTCCTCCGGCTCCACTCCTGTACTTCTCTGCTCTGGTCTGCTTACCAAGTAGACAGACACGCCTTTGGCGGCTGTCTGCCATTTTGATTGAGATTTTTTCCGTTTGTCGTTTTAGCTTGCTGGCTCTTTGTAGTATTTGTGTTTTTATTTAAGTTTTTGCTGTATTTTTGGCGAGTGAAAGTGATATATGGCGCATGATTCATGCAACACGACACTCATATGCATAAAACAACAATTAAACAGTATTTTGTGAGGCTAGACAAATGGCAAAAGGGCGCAGCTGAAAATGATCTCAAGTCATAAATATGCAGGTCCGGGTGACCAGCAGCACATTCGAATTTTTCACAAATAAATTCAATTCAATTCAATTAATTAAAGCTTAAAGTTTTTGTAAATCCATTAAATATTTGGTATTTCATTTTAAATCTAAATTGTCCGTTTTTTAAATTGAATGTAATTGGAAGATGTAATCAAAATTGTAAGGGAACTTTTCATGGAAGTTATAGTAGGAGATCTAAAGCAGACAAAAAGACAGTCGCAGCATCACTATATAATAAGAAATTGACAATATATATCTGCCTTTAATCATATCGAAAGATGCTGTAAATAACTATAATGTCGCATACTCTTTATGTAGATAAACATATCAAATCGAAAGTAGTACTCAGTAATGAAGTAAAATCGACGTTTCGTTTCTATGATTGAATTATTTATAATTTATAAGAATA